AGGCCCAGTTATTCAGAAAACAATCTGATTTGAAGCAAAGTTAAAAAATGTAAGTAGTGAAAGGTTATGATGTCATTTTTTTTCTCCTTACCCTTTGTTGAATGCTAATCTTTATAAAGCAGATCTTAGCTAAAGCTGTTAGCTTGTTTTATTAAAATTCTGTAAAGGATTAACTTTGAAATTTTAGAGAAACCTTAGTGAGCCAAATGTTTTGGTTACTTGTTCAGAATTTAGTCTTGGAGTTAACTAAAAACACAGGTTTTTCAATACAATTAGTAATGCTACTTCCAAAGCTTTATTGCCAAGAAATACTATACAGTTTTGTGTTTCTCCTAATTTCATTAGGCCATCAAACCACACTACATCTGATAAGTTTATTTCCTAAAGCAAAAGAAGTAATTTTAACATTAGAGTAGTAATTCTAAGTCTTACTTAGTCAGTCATATTTCTAATCTAATTCTTTTGGCTAACTTTTAATTATGCTCTTTAGTGAGTCATTGAGTACAATCTTGGTTGAACACTATACTCAATTTTCCCAGTCAGTTATTCTAGCTGGGAGAGCTACAATAAGAATGCATTCTATTATTTATGCTGCACATGCTATAAAAATGTTTTCTTTGAATAGTAGCCTATAGAATCTGCGTGCTGTAAGCATCCATTTTAATTTCAGGGCTGATAGATCTCTGTATACTAATGGATGCCATCGTGAACTGGCAGAGCTCATGCTAAGCAGTCACAAACCTAGAGAATCTGGTCCTGTAAGTACTACTGTGCTTTTCAGCCAGAAACAAAATCTTATCTCTGTGTACCTGAATAGAGTTAGAGTGTGCAGATCTCTTAAAAAAGACTTATAGTCTGTTATTCTCTCCTGCCAAGGGAGAGTGAAAAAAGCATTTTATTTCTAAATGCTTCACATTTTAAAATTTGCAGATTAGGAGTGATGTTTTCTGTCTACTATTACAGTAATATTTATGAAGAGCTTATTGTGTTTCAGGTACTATCCTAATCCTTTTACACACATTTTTCACAGCTGTCATATCAGTAGTTATTCCCATTTTACAGATAAAAAAACAGAGTGGTCAGACTTGCCCTAGGTCATGCAGGTAGGCCTAGGTAGAAGTCAGGTGGCCTGACTCCAAACCGGTGTTCTTAATTTCTGTAGAATTGATTCTCAAATTTGGCTGCACTTCAGAAGTACTTAAGAGCTTAAGAAAGAAAAGAAAAGGAAGCAATACCTGTGCTCTTCCCTAGACTGACTAAATCAGAATCTCTTAGGGATCGTCCGGACATTGGCATTTTTACAGCATCTTCTAATCGGTCTAATATGAAGGCAGGGGTAAGAACCACTGCTCTATAATTATATTGCTTACTTTAGAATTAATTTCACTTTATTTGGTAAAGTAATCTGATAGTATGAGATAAAGCACATCAGGAGACTTAGGCTAGAATAGAACCATAGTAAAGATTTTACATAGCTAGTAAATGAATCAAAAAATATGATTTTTCTTATGTTGGTATCATTGGCCACAAAACTTAATATGCCAGAAATAATGACAACCATTTAAAAGAAGAAATTCAGAAAACTCTGAAGCTATAAAAATACACATAGTTTTACATTAATGTTTACATTAATGTTTCTATATGGAATTCCAAACCTTAATAATAACTTTTATTTTTTTCAAACTTTAATTCATCAGCATGTGTTTAAAAATACTCGGAAAACTAGTTTAATGGTAAATATGGTATATACACATAAATAAGATCTATAAAAATAATATAGCCAATAAAATGTTTCCATATTCTTGATTTCAGAGTTGGGTGATTCTCTTACATAGACAGGACTAGCCCTGCCTGGTGGCTCAGTGGTTAAGAGCTTGGCTACTAACCAAAGGTTGGCAGTTTGAATCCACCTGCTGCTCCTTGGAAATCATATAAGGCAGTTCTCCTCTGTCCTGTAGGGTCGCTATGAGTTGGAATCAACTCGATGACAATGAGTTTGGTTTTTTTTTTTTTAATCCAACTCAGCGGCACACAGCAACAACATTGTAAATACAGAAAGATATGTCAATACTCATATTCTTGCATTTAACTTAATCGACAATGGCTAGATGTTATAAGAACATAAAGTAACATTTGACTTAATTTAAACTATATTTTTAGTTATTACCCTACATTATTCCCCTGTGCAGTAACATGAGAAACCTTAGCATGCTTGTGAATAAAAGGGATTGTATTAAGATTACCATGATACTTTTCATCTTGACTCTCCTGAGCAGGCATGCTCACCTCATGTTTATGATGTTCTCTTATTGAAATGTGGTTTGTTGAATTCAACACAGATTTCTAACTGAATAAGTGAATTTTTAGATGTCTATAAGTCTGGAGTGAGTAGGATAGCTATGGTCGTATGGGTTATTTTTAAAGCATGCCACTTTGTAAAACAAAAAAATGCTTTGGGACGGTATTCTTTCTATGTTTGTTACAACCATGTAAAAAATCATAGAATTTTAGAGTCAGGAGGAGTGACAATTCCCTTTAATTATATAGAAGCCTAGACAGGCAGTTGTGTTCAAGGTTATACAGCTGTGCCACTAGAGACAGAGCAAAAACCATGGACTAGGTGTCTGCATTCCTGTTCTTCTTTGCACTATACCAGCTTGCTTACATACTTACCTGACGGAAAAACTCCCAATTTAACAAATCATTGTTTATAGTCTCAAAATAATTTTTCTCTCAAACTTTGTCTTTGCAGACTACTAAAGAGCTATTGCTATATATATGCATACACACACACATATATATATATATTTAAAACCAAATAATTTTTATTGAAAAGGGAAAGGTGATATAATAGCACTGAATACTGTCTTTTTAGAGTAACGATATATTTATTTGTTTAACACTATCCTCTCTCTCCTCCTCTACTCAAAAAAAAGAACAGAAGTTTAAGTGGGTAAAACTCTGTAAAAATAAATTTACAGCTTCTGAAATTAGAAATATTTTAAGAAGAAAAAACATGTAATTCATCTAGATTGTTAGTGGGAAGATAATTAGCTTTACAGATTATCCATCTCATGTCTAGCTTTCAACTCTAAGGAGAGTCCCTTGAAACCCTCAGTAAAGTTTTGAGAGAAATAGTATTGTAGGCCTGATGGTATAGTATGGAATAAACATAGAAGACTAACTGTGGCCAACCTGACTTTTCATACATGATAGCAGGGTGCATCCGTGGCTACTGGCATGGTCACACCCCTGCTGATAACATAAATGACTTGTTAGAGGCAACAAGGCCGTGGTTCTAGGCTGATTCTGCCCGCCATGTGGGCTGTATTGTCACCAGCAGTAATCTCAGTGGAGGCATCACATGTCATATCTACCTACTGGTGTTCTTGATCTCATGTTTTTAATTTGCACGGTTTGTTGGTGGTTGGTTAGTAAAGTAAGATGAAACTGTACTTTTGATATTACACCTAGGTCAAATCCTGATTCTCACCAGTCTTTGAACGTGGATCAGTCTTTGTGGCTAGCCTAGCTAAAATAGCAGCAAACTCAGACGTCTAGTCAGGCTAATGATGTTTTACATCAACCTGAGGAAAAAAATCATATTCCCCCTTGTCTCTTCCATTTGTCTAAGCAACGTGTAGAATAAATGTTGAATCTAGGAAGAAAATCCTCAAATCTGAATGTTATATGAACAAAAGCCGGCTTAATTCTAAAACTTTATTCCTTCTAAGAGGCTATTCTATGCATAATCTGAAGGGACATGAGTAACAATAGTTACAGAGAAACGATATAGTTTTCTTGCTTTCCTAATAGTGTGGCCTTGTTATTTTGCAGGTAGTGAGTTCTTGGCTAGAATATAGCCATATTATAAGCACACATCCTGCATTTCCAAGACTAACATGTACGTGCTTTGAATCATAAGATACACTATTAGTGTGCATCAAGGGTTAACTCCATCTTCTAAGCATGTATTATATTTCATTAGTGATGACAAAAATGTTCCTGTTACCCAGTTTCCTAATGTTAGACTATGATCTGTACCCTAAACTAAAGTAACTTATCAATATTGTGACAAACATAATTACGGTACTAATGCTGTCTTTCAAATTATATGAAAATAACGCATCTCAGTAGATCATGTGTGTAGTGTTTTAGCAGTGGGATTGGTTTGTATTAAGTCAGATTGTGTTTAAATAGGACTACTGTATTTATAGAAATATGTTACTGGATTTACAACTTGGCATCTTACAAAGATAATGACAAATTTTGGTGGATTTGAATTTCCAAAATCCTTTGCCAGGTAGAAAAGGGAGCCATTGAATATAGGTTTTATGGCTTTTCATGAATAGACCATTTTCTTTTTGGTCAAAAATATGAGGAAAACATACTAGATAGAAACGCATTTGGATTTCTCATGTCTTTCTATAGCAAAAATACAAACTGCTGAAAATTCAAACTCTTTAACATATAATTTAAAGGCAGAATTCTGAGCAAATTATCTTTTTTGTGATAGGGAGATAGAAAAAGACTGTTATAAGCCTGTTTTTTTCTTGCACTTGTATTCACAGTGTTTAACAAAAGCAGCATTTCTGCTAAGAACTTTTGTAATGATTATTCCACATACTAAAATTTTCACTTTGGTTAGACAGTGTGAAAACAGCTATACATATTACCCCATTAATTTACATTTTTGAAATATAAATAATGTGTTCGTGTTCAGGATTACAGTGTATTCAGAATGCAGTTTTTGGACAAAAATGTCTTCCTATTATGTGGTATGGTAGATTACTCATACATTGAAGCATTTTTTTTGTTGTTGTTGTTTTTTAAGACAAGTTCTACACATGGGTGTTAGAAATAGCTTTGCAATAAAGGAAGCTCTGTGGTGGAAGCAGAGGGACAGTAGTGGATAAAACGGTGCAAAAGGCTGCTTGTTTGGAAATCTAATTTAAAAGAACTTTCAATCACTAGTTAATATAACTGCTTTAAATTTACAGACAGTGGGAGTAGCTCACCGTTACCCAAGTATGCTTCATCTCCCAAACCAAACAACAGCTACATGTTCAAACGGGAGCCCCCAGAGGGATGTGAGCGAGTGAAGGTCTTTGAGGAAATGGCGTAAGTAATGTCTTTTCTATCAGCTGGGATCTGCAAAGCTGTAAAGCTTTTTACTGAGACTGGTTGATTACGGATGAATCAACTACTCCATCCAGCTGATAATGTATTTCAAAAGCAGATTATTCAAAGAGAATTGAATAGGCAAAAGAGATCTTCTTGAAGGAGAATTGGAGTCTGTATGCTGGAAATGTATATAAATCAGTACAAAGAAGCTTGGAAATTCATCCTTACTACTTAAAAGATCTATTTTTAATCATTAAGAATTTTCCCCTCAAGAGCTCTAAAAATTTAGATGGCTAACAAAAAGACTTTTAGGAGCAAAGTTAATATCCATGTGTGGCTAGCCTAACAGTGATTGCACAAGCCAGGGGGAAATTAGTCTCCTTCCCTTATAGACACATCTAGCATGTGAATTCTTCATGGAATTCAGACTTTCAGTTCGCAGATTTTTTTTTTCTTTTTGATACTTGAATATGTACAAATTAGAAATTAAATAAAAAGCGATTCCTGCTGTAAACACTTGGCAGAATAGTTCAGAAAAAACTACGTGGCTGTTGGATTCACTCATCCCTTTGTCGTAGTGCCTAGTGGAGGCTGCTCTACTCCGGCAGCCTAGAAGGGGACAGAGGGTGGTCTTGCAGGAGTTGATGGCTTCACTCCCGGGGAATAGGAAGAAAGGAAGGGCTGGTGGACCCTGCTCTGTTAAGCTCACTGGCTCTTAGAAAAAATACTGAAAAAAATTTTTTTTGCCATCTGTGTTAATAGAAGTACGTATAGAAATGCAGAAAAGGTGGAAATGCTTATAACCAAACACAGGGTGGGATAATTTCCTCCCCAGTATACTTTTTCTTAACAGAAAAGGTAATTCTAACCTTGTATAATCTTCAACTATAATTTAGGATATTTTTCCATGTTCCTACACGATTGAAAGCAAACTAATAAACTCTGAAAATTTATTATCTGCCCAGTCCTTTAGGAAATCCTTTTGTCTCAAATATCACTTCAGTGCTGTGTATGTGACTAGTCTGCCAGCTGACTTGTGCTATGGAAGATGTTTATTCCTCTGTGTACACTTAACCCCATTCCCTGCCATTCACATTCTAGCTGTTTTAGAGAATTCTAATTAATTCAGAGAGTACTTTTTAGTAATTGTATACCTGATTTTGTTTAATGGTTTTAGGTCTCGTCAGCCTGTCTCAGCCCCTCTCTTTTCATGTCCTGACAAAAACAAGGTTAATTTCATCCCAACGGGATCAGCTTTCTGTCCTGTGAAACTTCTAGGCCCTCTCCTACCTGCCTCCGACTTGATGCTCAAGAACTCTCCTAACTCTGTCCAGAGCTCAGCTCTGACCACACTGACCGTTGAGCAGCTCTCATCCCGGGTTTCCTTTGCGTCTCTCTCTGATGACACCAGCACAGTGGGCTCCACAGAGGTCTCGGTCCAACAGCCATCTCAGCAGCAGCAACTTCTGCAAGAACTGCAGGGTGAGGAGCACATCTCTGCTCACAACTATGTGATCATCTAAGGCAAGGGGGAGCCGGCCTCTACCCTGTGTTGCATGGATGAGGAACTAGATCTCATACATCTGTCTGCATGGAGTGACAAACTTTTCTGAACACCACCACCACCAACAAAATACTTATCAGCATCATAAAGTATCTCTTAACATTCATCTTGGCAGGGACGGAACTCCTATTAGCAGTTTTTGTGGAAAGCAGTAATGCTTGCAAAATGTGTGTGTCATTCAGCATTTTAAGTGGAGACTATGCATTTCATAGTATGTTTGACAGATTAGTGCTGTGTCCTGTGTTCTGTTCCAAATTCTTCAGTATAAATAAGCTCTATATCAAAAAGTTGCCTGTCTAAATAGAATGTCAACAAAACAATGTCTTGCTGTGTTTTGTCCTATGGAAAATACTGTACTTCAGGATTATGTTTACAGTTGATCCAGGTGTTTGTTTCTAACTTCTGTAATACATGCAATGCAAAAAATATATATATATATGGCCACAAGAGTTGCACAGTGCCCACCCTATGGCCTAGCTTCAGGTACTTCAGTTGAAGTCTAAACTCAGGTAACTTGGAATGTATATTATATTGGGATATTAAATATTTCACAGCTAAAAAGCTAAAGAGGGAACATCACTCTTTTGCCTTTCCTTATTTTATGCATTTCCCTTTCCTCATTACATTCCACATTCTTGGAATAAAAAGTGCATTCAACCCTAGGAGAACGATAGTCCTGGACATGGGTGAACATGAGGAGAACCAGCAATTCTGTGGTGTCTGACATCACTCTTGTCATGTGGTTACAAGTAAAACAACTGTTGCATTTACTGTTTAAACGTGTAATGTGTAAACGTGGCTTTTTATTTTTTAGGTTCACATGTTGCTCAGCTAATGACTGTTACAATATTGCAAATAAAGTGTTCAGTACTAGGCTATACATAACATTCCACATTGTGCGTGATGAAATTTAAAGACAAGGATGTCTAGGTTTAATTTCAAAACAATTGAAGTTTCATGGGATGATTGAGATTTTTTTGTTTATGTTGGCCATTAAGGTCATGAAATGCTACTGTTTTATTTAAAGGCATATAAATGTTCAGTTTGTCTTTTGGAAATTCTTTAATTTGCAAGTAAAAAAAGGACACATTTGGGTTTTGTTTTCTTCAAGCAGTTTAGGTGTATGACCTGCATTTACATGTAGAGAGAGAATACATGGGTCTCAGAATTAATGCAACATAAGTAAGCAGGTTATTTGGTGATTTACAAAAGCAAAAAGCAATAGTTTGAAGCTGACTCATTTAAGCCTCTCATAATACCATCACGAGTACTTTTGTTAAGATTTTGGATATGAACATAAACCCAAGTAAATAGCCTTGAACTAGCAGACTTGACATAAGTTCTCAACAAAGCATGAAGAGAGCCCTAGATATTCCTGTTTGGTCAGTGGGAGAACCCCACTTTTAGATACTGTTTTCTGCAGCACAGAGAGGGTATCCAAAAGCAAAAAAAAGCTTTTGTATTTTTATTCCATTGCTTTCAGTTCAATAAAGGCTACAGTTGTTTCATCTACATGTAAAGTATATGGCACAATTTTCTTAAGAATGAGGAAAACAAGGTGCCTACGGTTACAGGAGCGTTTCAGTTCCCTTTAATCATTCCTTGGTTTTTGTTTTTATTTTCTAAAGACATTGAAGGATGAGGTGATAAGAAAGCAACACAATTAATTTTTTCTTTTAAAGAAATGGATGTGTGTGTGTGTGTGTGTGTGTGTGTGTGTATTATGCATTATTTTGTCATGATCCTAATTCTTTTTCCACCAAAGTTTGCAGTAATATTCTCTCCTGAAGGTGCATTCTGGCTCCTTTAAATTAGTCAGTGTTATATTGTAGGAGACTGTCATGGAGAAAAGGACTCAGTTTACTTTTGCCATTTTCACAGGGGAACCTTTTAAAACAATCTTTTCAGCAGCAGACACCTTTAACCCTAATAATCTCAGGCCTTGATGAAAATACTATATTTTGTAGATTATGGTTAAAGGGAGAAAAATACTAGTTCCGTAAGATAAATATGAGCTCCATTTAACTTCTGATCTCTGGTTTAGTATTACATAATGTGTTGATCTTATGCTCTGCTTTTGTCCAAATAAGATGCAATAGTATCAATATCAATTTCTGAAAGATGGACTGAATATGCTTTTTTGGTGATGAAATCCGATGTACGATATTTATAGTGACGTGCTTTTATTTTCTCATGAGAAACTATTAATTGTGTTGTACATTTGTTGTTAGCATATATTAAAGTTTTGAACCAAATGTGTTAAAGCTTATGCTTTGCCATGTAAATTACCCAGAAGTTGTTGAGCTCAAATGTATCCTACATCAGCTGTAGAAATTTGTCAAAAATTGTTTAAATTTTGTATATAGTTGTACTGTTTAATTCTAGCCACTGCGCTGAACAGTATTTGAGTTACCATACAATACGGCTTTACACAAGGAAATGTGTGGCTTTTGTTTTGTATTTTTTTCAGTATAGAAGTTCCTGTGTCTTATTTAAATAAAGTTATTAGTAAAACTGGAATAGTTCACATATGTTTTTGGAAAGACTGGGTGGTTAGCACAATACCATTAACCTCAGGGTAATGGCAGTATTCAGTGCTCATTGAGTTCCTGATGTGCATCTCTGGGGCTGTAGGGCATCTAACTGGATCAGATTTCTACAGCCTGGTTTCCTCTTGACATTTAATTTACACACTTTCCATCACAAGGTAAGAAACTAGATTTCTACAGTTCCAAGTCTTTGTACTGCTTACAGATATAAGTACCTTAAATAGCGCATTGTCCCCACTTCATTATTTTATACCTAAGAATTATTTACGGAAGTGAGTTTTTAAATTCAGGGAAATGACCTCAAAGGAAGTTGCATATTTCTTGCAAAGAAAACTGAAGCAATTTTGTTACTTTTTTTTTTTTTTTTTTTTTAATGTTTAGATTCAAACTAGGAGAAAACCTTTA